CGATATGCCAAACACAGTAACAACAAGTCTCATGATTGAGACGTTACTGGACCCGCTCGAGCAAATCGATGAACAATGGGAGGACTGTGACTGTGATACATATATATATGGATACCCATATATATATATATATTACCAATCATAATTTGACTTAGTTGGCTTAGTTGGCTAAAGTGCCTGACTTATAAACAGGATCCCAGGAGATTCTGGGTTTGAGTCTCTGGGATTCTAGGAGAACCTGAGACTTTGGGTTTCTCATACTTGTTGGAAAGTCCATTTCTGCTACATAGTGTGGTTCAGTCACTTATGAGCAATTGTGGCTGCAAGAGAGACTAATGGTACTTTATATTGTCAAGAATGAAAATAGTGGGTAATAAAGATGTTCAGACTCAGTGTTTGAAGATAGACAAGTTTATTGGAAAAGGGCTGGAGCAATAGTATAGCAGGTAGGGCATCTGCCTTGCATGTGGCTGACCCAGGTTCGATCCTCAGTACTGCATAGGATTCCTTGAACTTACCAGGAGTGATCCCTGGTAAGTGATTCCAGAACCAGGAACCACTGGGTGTGGCCCCAAAATAAAAACAACAACAAATAGTATATTGGAAAGTCAAAAAGGAAAGAATCTCGGGGCTGGAGTGATAACACAGTGGGTAGGGCGTTTGCCTTGCATGCTGCCGACCCGGGTTCGATTCCCAGCATCCCATATGGTCCCCCAAGCATGGCCAGGACTAATTCCTGAGTGCATGAACCAGGAGTAACTCCTGTGCATCGCTGGGTGTGACCCAAAAAGGGAAAACAAAAGGAAAGAATCTCCCCAGCTGGGGTCTGGCTTCCTGATATTTTGGCTACTTGACTTCAGGTATTGCCCATTGTCTCTTAGCTTTGATAGGCCTAAGGCTTGGGGTAGAATCTATAACCTTTCTAATGAAAGTTAACAATTCCATTCATTAGAAAGAGCCTAGAGTTCACTGGAATGTTAAAAATATAGGATGGGGGTAGTCAAAAATGGGACAGCTCCAAACAGCTGGCAAGGAGAAATCTGAGGCTTCCTCTTTTACCTGCCCAAACAATGCTACACCATGTGGTAGCTGGGGAGTTTTGAGGGATCATATGGTGCCGGGGATGTAACCCCAGATTCTGCCATGCAAAACATGTTCCAGCCCTTTGAACCATCTCTGCAGTCCTATGTGTTCTACGTGTTAAAAAAAATGATTTTGCACAGGCTGGAGAGATAATAGAGGTGGTAAGGGACCTGACTTGCATGTGGTGAACTCCAGTCTGAAACTCCCCCAGGGGTCAGAAGCAAAAGAACATGATGTGAACAGTGTGGGAAAAGCTTCATGCATCACATCAGTCTCAGTGGGCACAGGAGAATGCACAAAGGAACAGCCCTTTGAACATAGAGTGTGGGAGAGCTTTCAGTGAAAACACAATTCTTTTGAAACACCTCATCACTCACACTCATGAAAAACCTTATCAGTGTAATCAGTGTAACAAAATGTCACAGGTCAGTTCCTCTTGAGCATAAAAAAACCACCTTGGGGAGGATCTTTGGAGAGTAGCAATGTGGAAAACTCTTCAGGAGCAGTGCAGACTCAGCACCAGAGAGGCCGCACTGTAATTAATACTACCAGTGCAATGATGGTGGGAAGGCTTCAGGGACAGTTCAAACATCACTGTAACAGCTGTGGAGTCACACAGGAGGAAAATCGCCCTAGGAGTGTAACGAATGTGTAGAAGCCTTCAGTGGAAGTTCTGGCCTTACTGGACATCACAGAATCGACATTGGAGAGAAACTTGAACTTAATCTATTGTTTGAGTTTCAACTGGAAATTTCTGTAGGAAGCAAAGGTGGATTCCAGGCGTAACGGGGAGAAAGTATGACACGAGTGTACCTTGGCTGAGAAAGTGAGAAATAATATATTCCAGAATATATACATATATTATTGTGGAAGGAATATGTTTGTTGCTTCATCTGTTAACTGTGGGTAATTGTACCTAACCCACAGGACTGTGATTTTGATTAAATGAGTTAATCTATCTGTATCTGTATCACATTCCGTTAGCCACGGAATTGTTTCCCATGATAATGTTGTTTCATTATTGTTTTTATATATATTTTTAAATTTTTATGCTGTTCTCATATTGCTCCCCGTGAGAATACGGCACCAAGAACAGGTCACCAGAATTCAACCTGGCGACCACCGAGATGGGGAAACCTCCGGGCGGGCTAGAGGGAACGTGCCTGGTCCTTGGAGGGCGACGGCGGGCGTGACGCGCTTCCGGTCTTTGTGGTTCCTGGTCTCCGGGCTGCGGTTGTCAAGGACTCCGAGGCGCTCCGGTGCGGTCGGGGCGGGGTGTCCTCTGCTCCCACGGGTGCCCGGTGAGCTTCGGAGTCGGTCTCGGCCCCCGGTCTGGGTGTGTGTGTGTGTGGGGAAAGGGGGGCGGCCGCGGGACCTTATCGGGCCGAGCCTAGCTGCACCCTCGAGGGGCGAGGCGGCTGCCCCCGACCCCGGGGGGCGACCTGGCCACCGGCCTCCTCCTCCCGGTCGGGGCCTTCTGCACTGCCCCCCGCGATGTGGGATCCGGTGGGTGTTGCCCCGCCTGCAGCCTCGTTTCAGCCTGTGAACCAGGACCCTGATTTGGAAATACTGAAAGATTACCCGGTGCCAGCAGGCGCTTCCCAAATAACTATTCTCTTAACTCCCCGAAGGGACCCCTTGTGTCCTTTCCCCTTATTTATTTATTTAAATTTTTATTAGTGAAACACCATGAGGTACAGTTGTAGACTTACAAATTTTCGTGCTTGGGTTTCAGTTATACAATGATCGAGTACCCATCCCTCCACCAGTGCCCATTCTCCACCACCAATGAGCCCAGTATCCCTCCCTTCCCCTCTCTTAAAGTTTATTATCTATCCTTATTTAGATTTTTGTTCCATGTCCGGCGGTGCCCGGGCTTCCTCCCGCCTCTGTGCTCAGGGATCACTCCTGGCGGGCTCGGGGCATCATATGTGGTGCCCTGAATCGAGCCCTTGTGGACCGCAAAACAATCACCCTCCCCGCCATATGAGCTCTTCGGCCCCAGATGCGTTTTTAGGGTAGGGAGAAGGATGCTGAGACGAGTTCTACACCTCGCGTTCACAGTGGGATGTTCTGAATAGGGGGTTCATAATTGTGGGTGTCCAAGAGGACCGCGGGATGCGACCTTGCTTGGAAAGTCTCTCAGAGATACTGGGTTCAAGAAAGGAATAATATGTGCTGCTGAAGAGGAAATGGCTATTCAGGCCATCTAAGGCAAAACCCGGGGAAGGAAGGCAAAAATGAAAGGAGCCTTGGATAGACAGAGAAGAGAGGGAAATTGATTGTAGTGAAACGGAAGCAAGGCCTGAAAAGTCACAGACCGGAAATACTCACTGAGCAGAGTCCAAACTTGAAGTCTTTCTGTGAATAGAAAAACTTTGTTTCATTATGGGTCGCACCCCGGCAATGCTCAGGGGTTACTCCTGGCTTTGTGCTCAGGAACGACTCCTGGTGGTGCTCTGGGGACATCCATATGGGATGTCAGGGATGGAACCCAGGTCAGCCGCCTGCAAGGCAGATACCCTGCCCACTGTACTATCTTTCCCCAACAGAAAAACTTTGACTTGAAACCAAGGTGATGGCCACAAAGGAAAAAGTCTTACAAGGTCGTATAAAGCAAGATCACAAATAACTGTTTAATCTTTTGAACCCCTCTGAGGTCAGTTGAGTCACATGACAGCACAGATTCTTAATTTTTTTGTTTGTTTGTTTCTGCTCTACACTCATGAATTAGCCCTGGCGGTGCTCAGGGGACCATATGGGATGCTGGGAACCGAACCCGGGTTGGCCGCATGCAAGGCAAACGCCCTACCTGCTGTGCTATTGCTCCAGCCCCCACAGATTCTTAATTTTTCTTTTTGATTTTTCTACCCCAAAGTTTCTTAAACTGGAATAAACCTCGCTGACCGCCTCTGTTAGCCTCGCCCTGGATTATTGCCTTAGCTCCTCTCCAGGCTCCCACTTTCCCAATGATCTACTGACATAACAGTCTGCTGTGATTAGTTATTTAACATGTGAATAAAATTTGATCATCCATCTGCCGCCTTTTCACATCTCTTAAGGGATCAGGCAGAGCCTTTACCGTGGCTTTCCATGAGCTGAACCCAACCTGACTTCATGTCCTAGCACTTGACTTTTCTGCGCCAGCTGCAGAACTCCTCCAGCTGTCCCTTGAGTCTAGGCCTGCACTTGCCTCCAGGGATGAATTCAGCATTGGCTTCGCAAGGAACAGCTTTTGTCCACACAGTCAAATGGCTTGTTCCTCGGCTGGCCAGGTACAGGTTCTGTCTCTCTGCTTATGTAGCAGTGAAGGACAGGTGTGAGTCTCTGCCGGCGAGAACAGTCAGATTCGTCCAGGCTCCCTGAACATTAACAGCTGGATGCGAGATTCAGAGTTGAAGTTGCAAAGACATGGAAGCTTGTTGACGTTAAAGATGGGACCACTCTCACCCCCAGGAGGAGCATGAGAGCGAGAGAGTGGCGTATAATGGTGTGGTGGTTGTTTAGGGCTTTTATAGCTTTGACCGCAGCTTTATGACTACCTGTTGATCGCAGTTGCCAGGCTAGGTTAGGGTCGCCAACACCCCAGATAGGACTTGGAGAGAAGTGCCTGCCATTTCATTGTCTGCGTTTTATTGGAATCTTTTAACCCTCCCACCCTACCCCCACCCCTCTGTAAATTATTATTATTATTACTTTGCTTTTTGTGTCACAGGGGTCAGGGCGATGCACAGGGGTTACCTATGCTGGGAATCGAACCGGGTCGGCCACGTGCAAGGCAAACGCCCTACCCGCTGTGCTATTGCTCCAGCCCCTGTAAATTAACTTTTTTAAACTTCGGAATTCCCGGAAGCAAGGATCAGGAGGAGTCACCCAGAATAGATTCTTTTTTTTTTCCCCCCAGAGTGACCTCGGAGATGGCCACTGCCTTGGGGGCCCTGCATCCCCGGGAGGCGCCGGAGGACCCCGTGGCCGGGAGAACCGCGAAGGAGGCCGGCGGGAAGAGGGAGCGGCGAGAACCGGGCGCCGGCGGGGCCGAGGCCGAGGCCGCCGGGGCCGGGGAGCTCTTCGGCCAGCGGTTCCGGCAGTTCAGCTACCGGGAGGTCCCGGGGCCCCGCCAGGCGCTGGGGCGGCTCCGCGAGCTCTGCCGGCGCTGGCTGCGGCCCGACGTGCACAGCAAGGAGCAGATGCTGGAGCTGCTGGTGCTGGAGCAGTTCCTCAGCATCCTGCCCGCCCAGCTGCAGGCCCGGGTGCGCGCGCGGCGCCCGGGGAGCGGCGAGGAGGCCGTGGCCGCGCTGGAGGCCCTGGAGCGGGAGCTGGAGGAGCCCGGCCAGCAGGTGGGCGCCCCTCCCCTGCCCGCGGCTCCCCGGGACCTGTTCCTCGCGCATTCTCCCCCCCACCCCCTTCCTTCCTCGTTATCCGAAGAAGAGCCGACTGCATGCTCTTCGCCACGAGGTGAACCCCAATTGTCCATATTCCCCCCTCCCCAGGCCCCAGCCCGTGCTCGTGAGCAAGAAGCGTCTGAGCAGGAGAGGGGGACAGCGGCCCAGGAGCTGGACAGCGCCCTGCGGGAGCAGCAGCAGCAGCGCCACCTGGCGGCAGCGCGCCCAGTGCAGCGGAGGGGTGAGAGCCGGCGCTTCCTGGTGGGTGGGTGGTGGGGGGGGGGGGGGGGGTGGTCATCGATCCCCTCATTTGATCAGATTGTTCGGATCAGGACAGCTGGCAGGGCCCCTGCCTTCGAAGAGTTGACGGTTCAGTGGGAGAGACAGACAGCCAGCCAGCAGTTGCTGTACACGGCCTCTCCCGGAGCTCCGGGGCACGGGTGGGCTCACAGCTACTCACTGCCCTAATGCACCCGGAGTGTATCTCAGGGAGTAGGAAGACCCCAAGAAAGGGAGAGGAATCAGGGCTGTGGTGGGGGACTCGGAACACAGCAGCACTTCTCAGTTACAGTCACCGTCTTATGCAGGTGCTGCTTGTGCTATTACAGAACTCACCAGAGTGTGAGGCAGAGACAGGAAGTAATTGGATGCTGCTGGAAAATGGGGCCCGATGAATTTTTCTTGTGCAGGTCGCCACACACCTGCGTGTCGGGGATCACGGCACTAAAGCCAGCTGAACAGGTACCTTCAGCTCTGCACGCAGAGAATAGAACAGACACAGCGGTCTGTCCAGGTAGCAGGTTCGCCTCACAGCCCTCAGCAGACGATTTTTCCAGTCACACGCATCATTTATTACAAGCAGTACAGAAGTAACACAATATATTTTAGCTGCCAGAGCTGAAGACTTATTTATGTAAGAGAATAGGCATTATATTATATTGCATTGAATGGTTTGGATTTCTTTATTTACATGGGTTAAAATCATATAGCAGGGGCTGGAGCAATAGCACAGCGGGTAGGGCATTTGCCTTGCACGCCCGGGTTCGATTCCCAGCGTCCCATATGGTCCCCTGAGCACCGCCAGGAGTAATTCCTGAGTGCAGAGCCAGGAGTAACCCCTGAGCATCGCCGGGTGTGACCCAAAAAGAAAAAAAAATCATATAGCAGTCAATCATCACAAATTGACTTTTATTATTTTCTGATAATTCCATTTGCCATTCCTTTAAGTTTTGTTGAAGCAAGCAATATGAGTATGTTACATAACTGCAAAGGATGCAGGGTGGGGGTGACGGGGGGGGGGGGGAAACCAGGGAACATTAGTGGAGGGAAGGTCACTCTGGTGGTAAGATTGGTGTTGGAATATTTTATGCCTTCAATAACCGTATTATGAACAACTTAGTAAATAGTTGTAAACCATGGTGTCTTAATAAAAAACCGATTTTTTTTTCACGTGTTGGAAAATTTGCCCTGCCCTTTATTTAAAAAAATTTTTTTTTATTAGTGAAACACCATGAGGTACAATTATAGACTTATAAATTTTTGTGCTTGGGTTTCAGTTATACAATGATCAAGTACCCATCCCTCCACCAGTGCCCATCCTCCCCCACTACCGGTCCCAGCATCCCTCCCACCCCCCCAACCCCCCCTTCCACCCTGCCGCTGTAGCAGGGCATTCCTCCCTGTTCTCTCTCTCTTCTTTTGGGTACTGTGCTCTGCAAGAGAGGCATTGAGTGGCAATCATGTTTGGTCCACAGACCACTTTCAGCATGTCTCTCCCACCCTGGGAGGGTCTTCACAGCACCCTTTATTTGGTGCTCTCTTCTCTATCTGAGCTTCCTTTTCACCTAGCACATGTGGCTGGCCTTCAAGTCATGGAGCAAAATTCCTGGTACTAATCTCAGCCATTCCTGTTGCTTCTATGTTCCCCAGATGAATGCAATCTTTCTGTGTCTATCCCGCTCTTTCTGACTCATTTTGCTTAACATGATCCTTTCCATGTAGTACCACTTGTATGTAAATTTCATAACTTCATCTTTTCTAACGGCTACATAGTACTCCATTGTGTAAATGTACCAAAGTTTCTTTAACCAGTCATCTGTTCTCGGGCACTCAGGTTTTTTCCAGATTCTGGCTATTGTAAAGAGTGCTGCAATGAACAAACAATTGCAGATGTCACTTTGACTATACTTTTTTGCCTCTCTGGGATATATTCCCAGGAGTGCTATAGCTGGGTCAAATGGGAGATCAAATTCTAATTTTTTGAGAATCGTCCATACTGTTTTCCAAAAGGGTTGGACCAGTCTGCATTCCCACCAGCAGTGAAGGAAGGTCCCTTTCTCGCCACATCCGCGCCAGCATCTGTTGCTTTTGTGGATGTGGGCCAGTCTCTGTGGTGTGAAATGAAATCTCATTGTTGTTTTGATCTGCATCTCTCTGATGATTAGTGATGTAGAGCATATTCTCATGTGCCTTTTACCCATTCGGTTTTCTTCTTTGCGAAAGTTTCTGTTCATTTCCTCGCCCCATTTTTTGATGGGGTTGGGTGATTTCTTCTTGTGGAGTTTAACCAGTACCTTGTATATCCTTGATATCAACCCCTTGTTGGATGTGTATTTGATGAATATTCTTTCCCATTCTGTAGGCTGTCTTTGTATTTTGGTCAATGTTTCTTTTGAGGTGCAGAAGCTTCTTAGTTTAAGATAGTCCCATTTGTCTATCTCTGTTTTCACTTACTCGGCCAGTGGCATGACATCTTTGAAGATACCATTAACTTCAATATCATGGAGAATTTTGCCAACTTTGTCTTCAATAAACGTTATGGATTCCGGTCTGATATTGAGGTCATAAATCCATTTCGATCTTACTTTTGTGCATGGCGTTAGGTAGAGATCTGAGCCCACTTTTTTGCATGTAGCCATCCAGTTTTGCCAGCACAATTTATTAAAGAGGCTTTCCCTGCTCCATTTCACTTTTCTTGCCCCCTTATTGAAGATTAGATGATTATATGTTTGGGAGGAGATGTCCGTATATTCAACTCTGTTCCATTGGTCTGCAGCTCTGCCTTTGTTCCAGTACCATGCTGTTTTGATTATTACTGCTTTGTAGTAGAACTTGAAGTTAGGTAGGTTGATTCCTCCCATTTTCTTTTCCCCAAGAATTGCTTTAGCTATTCGTGGGGGCTTATTGTTCCATATAAATTTCAGGAGTGTTTGCTCCATTTCTTTGAAGAATGTCATGGGTATCCTTATAGGGATTGCATTGAATTTGTACAGTGCCTTGGGAAGTATTGCCATTTTGACAATGTTGATTCTCCCCATCCATGAACAGGGGATATTTTTGCATTTCCTCGTGTCCTCTTTTATTTCCTGAAGTAGCGTTTTGTAGTTTTCTTTGTACAGATCCTTTACTTCCTTTGTTAAGGCGATTCCTAGGTACTTGATTTTCTGGGGCACAATTGTGAATGGAATTGTTTTCTTCATGTCACTTTCTTCTCTTTCACTATTTGCATATAGGAAAGCCATGGATTTTTGGGTATTGATTTTATAGCCTGCCACTTTACTATACAAGCCTATTGTTTCTAGGAGTTTCTTGGTAGAGGTTTTAGGGTTCTCTAAGTATAGTATCATATCATCTGCGAATAGTGAGAGCTTGATTTCTTCCTTTCCTACCTGGATGCCCTTAATATCTTTTTCTTGCCTAATCGCTATTGCAAGTACTTTCAGTACTATATTGAACAGCAGTGGAGAGAGTGGGCATCCTTGTCTCGTCCCTGACCTTAGGGGGAAGGCTCTCAGTTTTTCCCCATTGAGGATGATGTTTGCTGTAGGTTCGTGGTAGATGGCTTTAACTATATTGAGGAAAGTCCCCTCTATCCCCATTTTGGCAAGGGAAAAACCAATTTTTTAATTAAAAACAACAACAGGGACTGAGCGATAGATAGTACAGTGGGTAGGTCTTTCTCCTTGAATGCGGCTGACCCAGGTTTGATCCCTGGCATCCCATATGGTCCCCTAAGCACTGCCACGAGTAATTCCTGAGTGCAGAGCCAGGAGGAATCCGTGAGTGTTGCTGGGTTTGTCCCCAAAAGCAAAAACCCCAAAATAACAAGAACCAGTTAGTACAGAAAACAAATGCTAAACTGACAGCATAGCTGTGGGCAGGTGATAGAGAAGCAACAGCCTGGAGACGATGGGGATGCTCGGTTCTTCTTGGCAGGACTCCCCCTGCAGGGCCTTGGTTGTAGCCCCTGTAAGTGTGTCCACTACCTCGCAGGATGACCTTTCCCGCTTCAGTCTGAACTCTCCTTAGTCGGATGCAAATACGCTGAAGCCTAACCCTTCCCTCTCCCTCGAAGGGCGTTTCCTGCCTGGCTGCACAATGAGAGGTGAATATTAAGTGCAACAGTGAATGTGAGGTGCAATAACGGAAGGCATATCTGTAATTCTTTAGAGAAGGAAGGAAAAAGAAAACAGGTTCATTGTCCCACCCGTTCTTCACCCCTTCCCCCGCCTTTTAAAATTTTTGGTGGCAGAACATTCATATCCTCTGTTATTTTTTCAGATGATGAGACACAGACATGGGATGTGGAGTTAGCCCGGGAAAAGAAACTTTCTAAAGAAACTCCATCTCCTGTGGAAGCACCTAGACAACTGAATGGCCACATTATTCAGCTGCCCAAAGGTGGAGACATCTGCAGCCACGAGGGACGATCGGAAAGACAACGGGTCAGCTCCACGGCGGAGAGGCCCTATGTCTGTGGGGAATGTGGGAAAAGCTTCACTCAGAATTCCATCCTTACCGAGCACCAGAGAACTCACACGGGCGAGAAGCCCTACGGGTGCGAGGAGTGCGGGCGGGCCTTTAGCCAGCGGTCAGGCCTGTTCCAGCACCAGAGACTCCACACGGGGGAGAAGCGCTACCAGTGCCGGGTGTGTGGCAAGGCCTTCAGCCAGAACGCCGGCCTGTTCCACCACCTCAGGGTCCACACCGGAGAGAAGCCGTACCAGTGCGGTCAGTGCCGCAAGAGTTTTAGCCGGAGATCGGTCCTCATGAAGCACCAGCGAATTCACACAGGAGAGAGACCCTACGCATGTGAAGAATGTGGCAAGAACTTCATCTACCACTGCAACCTCATCCAGCACCGGAAGGTCCATGCTGTGAGTGGGTCCTGCTAGCTCCCAGTATGCAGGGAGGCGACCTCTCCTGACCTCAGCTCTAGGTAAGGCGGCAGGAGCAACTCCTTCCTACTTGATCTCTTCGAGAACAATATTGCTGAAAAAAAAAATCCAGGCTTTCATAGAAATTTTCAAACATATACAATTGCAGAGAGAAAAATGTGTTCTTCCTTTGCTTGTTTTTTTTTTTTTGTTACAAACTTTTATACTTCTCAGGTTTTAGCCTCTTGATTGTATGTAAATTACAGACATCATTTTCTTTGAGTATTTAGCACACTTATAACTAAGCCCAGAAGACAAAATAAAGTAAAACTTATGGTAATAGTAGTTTGGATTTAAGAACAAGACATGTTGCAGAAAATACAAATAATAGAAACGGGGCCAGATGCAGGAGATTCAGGTGTCCTGTGCACTGCCAGGAGTGACACTTTAGCACTGAGCCAGGAGGAGTCCCTGAGCACCCTGGATGTGACTCAACAACAAACAAAAAATATTAAGGGGATGTGGCTGGAGAGAGAGTAGGTAGGGCACACAGCTGAAATGGGTTTGGTTCCTGGTATCACATTTGGTCCCCGAACACTGCCAGGAGCAATCCCAGAGTGCAGAACCAAGATTAACCCCTGAGAATCCACATGTGTGGCCCAAAAAAACCAAAGAGAACAAGATTTTTTTATTATCCTGGAGAACGTTTGTTTTCTCCTGAACACGTATCGCGCATTCCCTTTATTTTCCCAAATAAACTTGTCTTCACACAAAAAGGGGTGGGAGTAGGGAAGAAGAGGACAACCATGATGACTAAGAAGAATAAGAACACTGAAGTGTAGTAGCCCTGTTTGACAGAGTACAGAAATGGAGGCTTTGGGAGGTAACTGTATGAGCTCAAGTACTTAATGGAGTTGCCTCCCTCCTCTCATTTCTAGTGTGATACTCTTTGAAGCCACAGGAAAGCTTGCTTATACTTACCAGATAGAAGTTGCAAGTGTAGGACCGGAGGGATAGTACAATGGGTAGGGCGTTTGCTTTGCGTTTGGCTGACCCAGGTTCAGTCCCTGACATCCCATATGGTTCCCCAAGCACTGCCAGGAGTAATTCCTGAGTGCAGATCCAGGAGTAACCCTTGAGCATTGCTGGGTGTGACCCACTTAATCACTTAATCACTTAACTTCCCTTTAGTCGTCGATTTGCTCGAGTGGGCGCCAGTAACGTCTCCATTTGTCCCTGTCGCGTGCTAGTGTAGCCCAATGGCATCTCTTCGCTCCTCGGTGAAGCCTTCAGGGTCAGGTGAATGAGACCAGTTGTAGTTACTGGTTTTGGCATATCGAATACACAGCGGATAGCTTGCCAGGCTCTTCCGTGCGGGCGGAATACTCTCAGTAGCTTGCCAGTCTTTCCGAGAGGTATAGAGGCTTTTGGGGTGACCTCTAATCACCCTTGTAGGTGTTACCATATTTGAACCCTATCAAATATGGTATGACAATTCCAGAAGATGGGTATTTAGTGTCTTATGATGTGTCGCGCGGCCGCTTGCGGCCGCGCGGGTCCGGAAAGCGTCCTGGAGTGTGGCGACGGCTGGGTAGTGGAAGTAGTGTCGAGAGTGGAAGTCTGCCAGTGGGGTATTTATCCAGGACGCTTTCCGGACCCACGCGGCAGCTCCGGCCGAGACCCACGCACAACTGAAGACCCACAGAACAAGGGATCGAATTGTGCACAGGAGACCCACCCTACCCAGATAAATACCCCACTGGCAGACTTCCACTCTCGACACTACTTCCACTACCCAGCCGTCGCCACACTCCAGGACGCTTTCCGGACCCGCGCGGCCGCTCCGGCCGAGACCCACGCACAACTGAAGACCCACAGAACAAGGTAAGCGGAACTCTCTGAGACCTTGGACTCCAGGCTCGGTGGACCCAGGGACAGAGCTTCTCTGCTTGCTCCCACCACCACAGGTGACAAAGGGATTCTAATCAGGAGCCCCACCCTACCCTGCCCTGTCTGCTTCCATCAACCACCCAGGGATCGAATTGTGCACAGGAGACCCACCCTACCCAGATAAATACCCCACTGGGTGTGACCCAAAAAGAAAAAAAGAAATTGCAAGTATATGGAAGTTACAGGACTTATAATTCACTGAGGTTTTACCCTTTTTAAAAAAATTTTTTTTTAAGCTACAGTCTCTCCCGTGTAATTTGTTGGTTTTGTTTATTCGGGGGCTTACTCCTGACTCCAGGCACAGGGCTCCCTCCTGCGGTAGTCGGGGAGCAGGCTGGAGTGCACTGCGTGTGCTGTCTCTCCAGCCCACCTCACATGCGCAGTTCCTTGACTGGCAGAGGAATTCCAGAAAGCTTCCTTCTACCTACCCCTCATTTGGAGAATTTTATTTATTTTTATGATGATTATTTTACCTTTTTTTTTCCTTGGCCACATCTAGTGATGCTCAAGGGCACTCAGGGATCACTCCTGGTGGGCTCGGGACCACATGGGGTCTTGGGGATGGAACCCCAGGTCAGCTGTGTGCAAGACTGTCACCCTAGCTGCTGTGCTATTTCTCTGGCCTCCTGTTTCATTTTTGAGAAATTTGTTTTGCTCAGTTACATTCCATTACATCATGTTATCAGACTGTAACTGAGCCTGGTGGTGCTGGGGACCCGTCAGTGTGGAAGAGTGACCCGAGCCGCCTCTGAGGCGCCTACACTCTGCCTGCTGAGTGTGGTTTATTTTTAACTTTTCAGTTCTTTAGAGGGGCTTCTAAAAATCCCTTCTGGTTCAAAATCAGACAAAAATTACCTGGCTCAAAAATCAAAACAAAAATTAGCTCCTGCCTTTTTCAATCTATGCAGCCATTTTACCAAGTTATTACATATCCTTTATTTCTGTATTAAAAACTATGAAGTACAAGAATATGTGAACATAAATTCTATTTTCTTTATTACACAGAAAGATAGTATGCTATATATATGCTTTAATACTTTGATATTTTTATAAAATAGTCTTTACAGTGATTTTGTCATAATAGTTTCCTCATTGTGTTTACAACTAGAAAATATTTTATTTCTTCACACTCCAAAGTTAATATATTCTTATAGATAGAGCATTATGGGGGCAGAGTGATAGTTCAGCAGGTAGGGTGCTTACCTTGCAAGTTGCCAACCCAGGTTCTGTCCTCAACACCAGGAGTAAGTCCTGGGCACCACTGGGTATAGTTCCAGTCCCATCACATTTCTAAGTTTACCTTCTCTCTTCTTTTTTTCCACTCTGAGTTCTTTAATCAACCTGTGAAGTCTCAATTCTTGATCATTTTTCAGATAATTGCCTGGACTGATTTCTATCCCCCTGAAAAGTCCATCCTGAAGAGCAGGGTAAGTTAAAGGGGTTTTTGTTGTTGTTGTTTCTTACTTTTTTGATTTTGGGGGTCACACTTGCCAATGCTCAGGGCTTACTCCTGGCTCTGCACTCAGGAATTATTCCTGGAGCTGCTGCTCAGGGGACCATATAGGATGCGGGAGATCGAACCCGGGTCAGCCGTGTGCAAGGCAAACACCCTACTCGCTGTACTATCAATCTCTCCAGCTCCTAAGTCAAAGTTTTATAGAGGAATAAGATATAAGAAATATTGATAACGGCCAGAAAGCTACTCAGGAGATAAAGCACTCTCATCTGATTTGTTAGGCACACACAACCTTCTGGGCAACTTTTTTTTTCTTTGGCCCGGGGCTTATGCCTGTCTCTGCACTCAGGAATTATTCCTGGTAGGCTCGGTGAACTGTATGGGATGCTGGGAATTGAACCTGGTTCAGCTTCATGTAAGACAAGCACCTTACCTGCTATACGTTCTCTCTGGCCCCCAAAAGTTTTTAAATCTTAGAACTAATTTTATTTGTTTTTTGGGGGAGTATAATGTTAAATATTAGATCACTTAATCACTTAATCACTTAATCCCCGTTATTCATCGATTTATTCGAGCGGGTGCCAGTAACGTCTCCATTCATCCCGGTTGCGTGCTAGCGTAGCCCAATGGTATCTGTTCGTTTTAGGAACATGTAGAGCCTCAAACCGATCATTTAGGGTCTTGACGAAGAAGTCTGACCATCTTATAGGTGGGCGTCCACGTGATCTTTTGATGTCTCGTGGAATCCAATCAGTAATGGCTCTAGTCCAGCGGTTGTCTGTAAACCTCATTACATGTCCAGCCCATCTGATTTTTGATGTCTTGGCAAATGAGACAGCGTCCCTGATTCTTGAGCGTTGACGAAGATCAGAACTCCGGATTCTATCTCTCATTTGAGTGAATCGTGATATTCCAAGCATAGTTCTTTCGATTCCTCTTTGAGAGACCCGAATAGCGTTCTCATCCTGTTTTCGTAGGGTCCAGGTCTCTGAGGCATATGTTAATGCAGGAAGAATAGTGGAATCAAAGAGATGTGCTCGTAGCTGGAGGTTCTTTGTCCTTTTAGTTATTTCTTCAATGCTCTTGAAGGCATTCCAAGCCGCTCTCTTCCTCCTGCGCAACTCAGGTGCCAGGTCATTCATCATGTTGATTTCTCGACCTAGGTATATATAACTGTTGCATTCGGAGATGGTGGTTCCGTTGAGAGCGAATGGAGCGTCAGGAACAAGGCTGTTTCTCATAAACATTGTCTTCGTAAGATTCAGCTGTAGTCCGACCTTTCCACATTCACGGTCAAAGTCGTTCAGCATTTGTGCCACTTGGTTGATGTTTGGTGTTATTAGAACGATGTCATCAGCAAAGCGGAGGTGGTGTAGTTGCCGACCATCTATCTTCACTCCCATGTTTTCCCATTCCAGTCGTCGCATGATGTTCTCGAGGGTGGCACTGAAGAGTTTTGGTGAAATGGTATCACCCTGCCGAACCCCTCTCTTGATATGGATGATTACTTCTTTGTAGAATGGTGAGATCTTGGTAGTGAATCCGCAATAGAGCTCATGAAGGATCCTGATGTATTGAGTTTGTACGCCCTGATTGGCTAGGGCTTCCATGACTGCTTCCGTCTCAACAGAATCAAAGGCCTTCTTTAAATCAATGAACGTTAGACAGAGCGGCATCTTGAATTCCCGAGATACCTCAATGAGCTTGGTTATTGTGTGGATATGGTCAATGGTACTGAATCCTTTTCGGAATCCAGCTTGTTCACATGGTTGTCCTTCATCTAGTGTTCTGCTAATCCTATTCAGGATGACTCGAGTGAATAGTTTGTAGATGACAGACAATAGGCAGATTGGGCGATAGTTGCCAATGTCGTGGATGTCTCCTTTCTTGTATAGTAGTACAGTCTTGCTGGTTTTCCATTGGGATGGAAACTTGCATTCAGACAGGTAGCGTGTGAAGAGTCTAGCCAATGTATTGATGAGTACTGATGGTAAGTTCTTCAGGTGTTCAGGTCTGATCTTGTCTGGGCCAGGTGCTTTTTGTTTCTTTACCGACGAGACGGCATGTTGGATTTCAGAAGGGAGAACATTGGGAACGACATATCCATCATGTGGTATGTGGTATGTGGGCAAGTGGATGTGGCTATTAAAGAGATCTGAGTAGAAGTCATGAATAATCTTCTCCATTGCCCTTCTGGAAGATGTGATAGATCCATCATGATGTCGGAGGGCAGTCATCTTGGTTTTGTAGTTGGTGAAGGACAGGCGGGCATTACGAATGTTTTTCCCAGCTTCTGCTGCATCTACCAGTACTGCTGCTCTCCTGTTTTTGAGGTCATCCTTGATGGCTTTTCTACTGTTTTGCCAGTTCGGACGTTTGCTTGTGGTTGCCTGAGGCACGTGCCAAGCCACGTTGGCGAATAAGTTCAAGAGTGTTCGAAGAAAGACGGTTTTTTGTGGTTATCTCTCTCTTGGCATTCCTTGCACAATCATGGAGGTGCTGAATCATTCGATCGTATTCCTCATCAATGTTGTCAATGACGGCATCTTCCCATGTTGCCGCAACAGAGCCAAAGAGTTCCCAGTTGGTGGTTGTTCTGGGAGTCTTCTTCTTAAACCTTGCATTCTTTTCTCCTCATTCTGTGAGGTAGAATTTTGCACGAAGAAGACGGTGGTCTGATCCCGTTTGGAATTTTGGGACAACAGCAACATCGGTTAGGCAAAACTGCCGATTGAATATGATGTGGTCTATTTCATTGTGGAACCGTCCATCGGGAGACTCCCATGTCCAACGTTTAGATTCAGCCTTTTGGAATTGTGAGATTATTATATTAGATATAATGGATAAATGTTTTTCAATGACATGTATAATATGCATGTGAGTGTCTGTATGTGTAAAGTTATGTCTGTATGGTTCTTATGACTCAGCTATCAGAGTCCTCTGGAGAGGCAGGTTGTAAAGGATAGCTTTTATTTTTATTTCCCCCTTTCGAAGTCTTAAACAGTGGATATATTTACTGTATTTGATATTTTTATTTAAAAATTGATGATACCTACGGACCAGGGTGATAGTACAGTGGGTAGGGCGCTTGCCTTGCACCTGGCCAACTCAGGTTCAATCCCCGGCATCCCATATGGTTCGTGAAGCACCGCCAGTATTAATTCCTGAATGCAAAGCCAGGAGTAACCCCTGAGCACAGCCGGGTGTGGCCCCAAAGCAAACACACAAAAATTGGTGATCCTTAAAAGTAAGCAACCAAACAATGTCTTAATAGTAAAAAATTGAAAACTCTTTAAAAGCAACTAAAATAACTTTTAAAAGCAATTAAA